CCTTCCTACTAGTTTATTCAGAGATGGTATTAAAACCGAATTCAAAAACGAAAGTAGGAATAAAAAGCGACCTGCATCAGAATGACGATGTAGAAGCCGTGGCAAACGCTAAATTGAACAAAATGCTCCACTAGCCAGGCATAGAACCCAACGTCGTAACGGAGAAGATCTTGAAGTGGAAATCGTAATATTCGCATAAAGGATAAGAGAATAAAACTCTTGGCGTTAATCAATACCTGAAGGATGCGCCATGCATGCAACATCAGTCAGCATCGTTGGAGGTGATTGAATGCATACCTGGCCTTCAAAATGACTTGAGGTGGCTATCCGATGTTCGAACCAGTGCTACTATCCTCCCAGACAAGTCTGGTGCCACTTTTCCAACCACGGAGGGATGGAAGGCTTGGTGAGCCTAGAGAGAGGGAACCGACTCCGTGTGCATTGCAGGGTTTCTCCGATCACTGCACTGCAGGCGATCCATTTTGGCATCACCTGCATCACCCGTAGTCCCGTTGAACGTCGAGTGGCTCGAGCAGGCTCCAGCAAATCTTCCATTTTTCCACGTCGCGTGAAGAGTAGCCCAGTGGGTTCTGTTCGCTATAGGAACTCCTTAAGCATCACATCCTTCTTCCAGGCTTTTCGTAAACAACCCTGACCATCGGGTCTGCTTGCAGTGCGTTTGACATGTTGAGGAATTCAGTCACTAGCAGCTGTTGTCCTTCGGTTGTCGTTCATAAACACTACGTTTCCGACCCACCTTAACTTCGACAGTTTCACGGTATAGAACGGCATTTTTGATTTTTGGTCGATGTCGCAGGTCGGAGCTTCGGATTTTTTCCCTATTTGCGTAACACAGGGTCCCCGTAACATCGTTCTTTCGACTGCGCGTTCAATAACGCTGAGTGATTTTTCATCATGTTTACGCAGCGACCAGGTTTCTGACGCATACGTTAAGACAGAAGAAACCGTCGAGTCGAAGAGATGGGCAAGGAGTCGAATGTTCTTTGTTCTCCTCACTATTTCTTCGATTCTCTACAAAGCTTCCAGAGCCGCTCGTTTCCTTCTGCTCAACTCTGGAGCTAAGTCGTTCTTCATATTGATTTCACGACCTAGGTAGACATAGATGGAGCATTCGGAGGTATTCCTTCAGTTGAGCGTGAATGGAGCATGCGAAACCAATCTGTTCCTCGTAAACGTCGTTTTTGTAAAATTTAATCGAAGACCAATCATTCCACAGGCTTTATCAAAGTCGGCAGGAATACCTTCTTCTTAGCTAATGTTTGGTGTTATAAGGACGTAGTCATCAGCAAAGCGAGGATGGTGTAATTGCCAGCCATCGATTTTCACTCCCATATTACGCCATTCCAATGTTCGCATGACGTTCTGGAGGGTGGCGGTAAATATTTTTCAGGAGATGGTATCGCCTTGCCTAACACCTCTTTTGACGTCGATGCTAATATCGCTGTCGAATGGTGATATCTTGGTTGTGAAATTTTTGTACAACTCACGAAGAATCTTTGTGTACTGAGTAGGGACTCCTTGACTTAACGGTAGGTTATACATTGTGAAATATGACTTCAATGACGTTGAAATATTTGCAAAACTCCGGACCGAAGGTGTATGCGGTGGGAAACGAACGCGATATTGTCCTTTCCGGGGAGTAGCGCGTTCGATCTTTTGCCATCAGCAATCACCCGTTAGCGGAATTGATCTGGAAAGCCCAAATCGGCAACGAAGCCAGTTATCGATAGAACTAGCTGAGAGACAGGCGAAACGAAGGACCAGCGTGGTGTGGTGGTGAACGCACTACTCCCCGGAAAGGGCAATAGCGCGTTCGTTTCCCACCGCATACATCTGCGGTCCGGAGTTTTGCCAATATCTCAGCATCATTGAAGGTGATATCTTGGTTATGAAATTTTTGTACAACTCACGAAGAATTTTTATGTACTGACTAGGGACTCCCTGGCTTTCAAGGGCTTCTATGACTGCTTCTATCTCCATTGTGGCAAAGGTCTTTTTTAAATCGATAAAAGTGAGACTTTGATCACATGACTGCCTTTCGTGCAGTGTCAACTCTATCAACCCTTGTCAACCCTGCTCAGGGTGACTTGGGTGGAAAGTTTGTAGACGTCAGACAGTGAGCATCTTAGGCGATAGTTGTTGATATCGTGGAGCTCACTCTTCTTGAACAATGGCACGGTCTTGCTGGTCTTTCATTGAATAGGAATTTTGCATTCAGAAGAGTGTGAAGAGCTGAGCCACTGTGTTTACGAGAACTGGCGGAAGGTTCTTCAGGTGTTTTTCTCTCATCCCGTCCGGACTTGGTGGTGTTCCATTTTTCACCGACGAAATGCATGTCGGATTTCGGAAGGAAGAATTGGTAGTGCAACATATCCATTCTTCTCTACTTCATATGACGAAAAGTAGACGTAGCAATCGATGAGATCTGAGCAGTATTCGTGAATGATTTTCTCCACTGCCTTTCTGGAAGCTGTAACTGTTCCGTCTTGGCGTCGGAGTGCAACCATCTTGGTCTTGTAACTGGCGAAGCTTCGCAGAACTTTGCGAATACTTTTTTCAGCTTCTGCAGCTTCGACCATTACTGCTGCTCTTCGCTGTTTAAGGTTTTCTTCTATCGCCTTTCTGCATTTTTTTCCAAGTTCGGACGTTAGTTCACTGTTGCCTGTTGCTCGTGCAAGTCCACGATGGCGTGTCGGCTCGAGTTTCTGAAGATGGACGTCGCTTGATCACGTTCGAACTCTGAAGTTTCATATCGCAAATGCGAAGATGTTGAATAAGAGAATTGTATTCTATGTCGATGTTATCGACAACGACATCTTCCCAAAAGCCGACAAATGAGTTGAATAAGTCCCAACTTATAGTAGTTTTGGAGCCTCAATTTTTTAATTTAGCGGCTTTTTCTCCTTTCTGCGAGAAGTGGACTACTGCACGAAGGAGGCGATCTTCTGATCCCGTGTAGCATTTTGGGATAACAGCGACATCGGTTAGGCAAAACCTTCAGTTTACTATAATGTCGTCTATTTCGTTATGGTACTCTCCACAGCCACGAAGGTCACCCAAATGAGGGATATCAAGCGGGTTATTCGCGAAGCTACGTGGCATATCCCCTGGTTAGGGATAGGGATTTAATCCCAGAGCAAAAGCGACCGCATGTTTTCCTCGGACGAAGGATGATCAAGGGGATGGACTTCCTACTTCTGCGCGCCGATTTGGCATTGCAGCGTACAAAAAGGCAATGGAGAAAATCACGAATACTACTCAGATCTCTGCGATAGCCGCGTCAACTTTCCGTCATATGAAATAGAAGAGGATGGATATGATGAGCCACCGGTTTCTCCTTCCGAAATTTGGCATGCCCTTTCGTCGGTGAAAAGTCGAACAGCATCGGGTCCGAACGGGATTAGATCTGAACACCTGAAGAACCTTAAGCCAGTCCTCGTAAACACACTGGCTTGCCTCTTCACAGGTTACCTGTCTGAATGCAAGGTCACAATTCAATGGAAGACGGGCAAGAACGTGCTAAGGTTCAAGAAGGGTGACTTGCATGATATCGGCAACTATTGCCCAACCTGCTTACTGTCTGTCATCTACAAACTTTTCACTCGAGTCATGCTAAACAGGATTGACAGAACACTAGACGAAGGACAACCATGTGAGCAAGCAGGATTTCGAAAAGGATTTAATACGATGGACCACATCCACACGATACAAGGCTCATTGAAGTATCCCGAGAGTACAAAAGGCCGCTCTGTCTCTCTTTCGTCGATTTAAACAAGGCCTTTGACTCAAATGAGATAGACGCAGTCATGGAAGCCTTGATAGTCAGAGAGTCCCTATTCGGTACATAAAGATTCTTCGTGAGCTCTACAGAAATTTCTCAACCAAGATATCATCAATTTACAGCGATATGGCATTGATGTCAAAAGAGGAGTTAGGCAAGGTGATACCCTCTCGCTAAAATTATTTACCGCAGCCCTGCAAGAACGTCATGCGAACATTGGAATGGAATAATATGGGAGTGAAAACCGATGGCCGGCACTTACGCCACCCTCTTGCTGATGACATCGTCCTTATAACAGCAAACATTAGCCAAGCGTAATGTATGCTCGCCGGCTTTGATAAAGCCTGTGGAAAGATGGGTCCTCGACTAAACCTCACAAAAGCGATGTTTATGAGGAATGGATTGGTTTCGTATACGCCATTCACGCTCAATGGAACGAATATCTCCGAATACTCCAGCTATGGCGGTCTACGTCGGGAAATCAATATGATGAACGACTTAGCCACAGAGTTTAGCAAAAGCAAATGAGCGGCTTGGGGAGGTTTCAAGAGCATCGAAGAAGCAGTGAGGACAATAAAAGAGAACGACTCCATGCCCACCTTTGCGAGTCAACGGCACTTCCTGCTCTAACGTATTATTGGACGCGAAGTCGAAAAGACGTTGATAGGAGTATCCCTGTCACGCAAGTAAGGAAAGGGATCCGAAGCTCCGATCTGTGTCAACGATTAAAAATCAAAGATGCAGTTCTGTACGCCAAACAGTCGAAGATAAGTTGGGCGGGACACGTAATGCTTATGAATGACAACCGATGGACAAGAGACGTTAGTGATTGAATTCCTCAGGATGTTAAACCCACTGCAGCAAGACCACCGACGCGATGGTCAGAGTTTTTCACGAGGAGCCTAGGAGAAAATATGATGCTCGACGAGTTTCCTAGAGCAAGCAGAACCTATTGGGCTACTCTTGCATGCTTCAGGGAAAAATGGAAGATATACTGGCACCCGCTCGAGTCACTGGACGATCAACAGGCAACCGGTGACGCTCTCTTCTGGGAGACCTCCACGTCTAGCCTTGAAGATGGAGCTTCCGGAATTGCGAGTTACGAAGGATCGTGTTGGCCGTTATCATAAACTCAGAAAGTTGCTCAGCCTGTTCGTTCCATTCTAATCCGTGAGTTCCAGTCAGACGTTCTTCGTGGTCAAATCTTGGCGTTAATACCCCCAGTGATAACCTCGAAGAATGTATGGTCTTCTCTGTAGAATTTCTCCAAGTCCACATAGAACGCTTCTACTTTTTCTTCGTTATGGCTTGATGTCGGCGCATAGGCGACGAAGACTGTCGATGCCAATGTTGATGCACATCTTTTTAAACGTAAGCGTCCGATTCGGGTTGTTAGTTGTTCAAACGAATTGATGCATGGACAAACTCGTGTTGACGAGAACGCCGACGCCGCCGACTCTTCTACTGTTGCATGTTCCGAGGAACAGTTCTTTTCCGGTGTCATAAACGGCGTTGAATGGGTGGCGTCGTCTTTTCTCGGCCAGGCCGTTGATGTCGTACCTTTTCTTCTTGCTTGCATGAGCAAGTCTTCTATGGGGCACTCGGATGCAAGTGTACGTGCATTGTAGGTACAGATCGTCACCATAGTTCTTTGAAATCCAGGCAGCTTCCATTGACCCTGTGATATTAACAGCCTCTCTGCACTTATCCTACCCAACGCTTCCGAATTGGAGGCCCTTTCGGGGTCAGGAGAATGAAGTCCTTTTCTTTCACTGGGTTTAGCATTTCGAAAACCACGTGTTGCTTGCTGGGCTCTGAAAGGGCGGTGGGCTGCATATACTTACGGGTAGCCTGCCAGGCTCTCTCAAAGTGGATATGGAGCTTCTTTGTTGGAGGCGGTTTCTAACCGCTTCCCATATACTGCCCAGTCACTTGATTGCAGGCTTTTGGCCGAATTGGCTCGTAGAACACAATCCGCATAGGCGAGAACGCGCCCATACACGCACGCATGAATACGCCTGGCAAATACAAAGAGTGTGTGCCAAATCAGCAGCAGAAACCAGGAGTCCTTCCCTTGGATCCACCTGCGTCTCAGGAAAATATACGGTCGTTTTTGGCCCGCAATTAACCCCCTATCGACCACCTGGGGACGCGCCACGAAGCCTCGTGACTAATGGGCTCGAGATCCCTCGTATGAGGAACCTCCGTGGTAATCATTCTGGCATAGCAGTCTAAAAATTCAGTGCGTAAAAGTCTTGAAGGGTTTTGGAGGATCTCTAAAAATCTAAGAATGAACCAAAAGAAGGAGTGCCTAGTGGTCACATGTTGTCTCGCTCCATATCTCAGATTGATTTTTTGATCTGACCGACGCATTTTTCTCACCCATGTGGGACTGCATGAGACTGGTCTCGAATAACAACCGTAGGACTTAAGCATAGGAAAACGACGAGTGCTTAAAAAGGAGGTGTTCATAGGCTCTCAATAAAACGAAACTACCAATATGTCACTTATATTTTATTAATAAATGCTTTAATGGCAACCTCGTGTTTGCTCGTGAACAAAAACAGTGAATATGTCTAGTATTTCTGTGCACTACAAGTTCTATTGCGTGGGTCAATTTACAGTGGTTGTCTTATGATATCATAATAGCAGAATTTTCTTGGCACTGCAGTTACAATCGTAGACTTAGGTTATTAGGGGTTTATAGTAGTGCGATGAATGAAGGTTATTAGTGGTTTATTGTGGTGCGATGAGCGAAGCGAGTGTTCAAGAAGTGTCAATGGTAGACACGGCTCCTACAGAGTGGCTAATGCCATGTCACCAACGAATTACAGTCGTCGCCCTGAACAGATCCAAGTGTGGGAAGGAAAACTATGTTTTACAACATTAGATTACAGTTGTGTGGAGAAAAATAGACGGAAAAGGTAAAAGGCAGATAACAGTTTGTAGAGGTAGAAATCGATAAATTGGAAAATAGCACGCATGGAGTTTGCCAAGATGCTCACGGCTACCTTCTCGCCTAAAGCAGTAGAAAGAACGACTTTATAGAAAACAGCGAAGGCCTTCGTGAACTTTTTAATGGTCGTGGGGAATTGGCACAAGTGATGCGTAGGAACTAGCATGGAAATAACGCAGGAAGCATATGGATAGCATGAAGAGATAAAAATCTCTTTGAGGAGGAGAATGTCCTCTATAAAAGTGGTTGATTCAAAATAAAATGCGAAGTAATTAATCAGTTTTCTACTACTTTGTGAAAAATTTCAATATTACTTTTGGTCCAAAGAAAGACATGCCGTTTATTACTCTAAATATAATAAAATTTTAGGGAAGCAACAAGATTGCTTGCAAAGTTACGTAATGGAAATGAGATAGGCAGAATTGTAAAACAACGGTTTGTCTGAAAGTGATACGTTATCATTATCTCTTCTATAAATTTCACTGTGAATCGATGTATTAAAAATAGTGCAAGAATTTTGCTTTTGAAGAGTCGATTTCAACGATGCTGATTTGTCCAGGTGATGTGGAACAATCTGGGCTCCTCACAGTGTGTAAAGCTTGAGAAGATACAGAATTTCTCAGAATTTAGCTAGCGATGAGAAATTTCGTCTTTCTCGGCTAATTGTTACAGTTTGAGCAGTATGCATACGTAAACCCCACTTTTCAGCCATAACATCTTCGTTGTTTTCTTGAGTTTTTTGTGAAGAACAAACATTAGTTCTGACGGAAACAGCGTTATTAAATGACGAAAACTTTTTGACTGTTGCAAAATAGACGGTTTACCGAGGAGCAAAACATATAATATTGACTCATTACACATTTTATCATGAATTTCTGTGCTAGAGAAACAGGGCTGTTCTTATAGTGTTTATTCAAAAGAGCTGACTTCAAGGTAGATTTCGCCTTTGTAAAATCCTGGAAAGGTCAAGTTGAGTGTCATCTGGCAAGTCAAATACCTCCATATCCTCAACAGTTTCAATCTCATTGGAGACGAAACAGTTTCTTAGCACACTCACCGCTTTCTACAAGTCTTGCACTGACCATTCCATTCAAAGACCAACGTTGATGGATAATGCGATTCTCTCAAATTAAAATATCATTCTGAGATATTCTGCGAAATCGGGCCTAGTAACGACGTATTTCGTTATTTGTTCTAAAAAGATGTTTTATACACTGTAATTGGTTTTCTCCCATCGAAAAGGCCATTGCTCGAATTAATTTGCCCTTAGTCACCTTTTCGGATTAAAATTTAGCACATCTTTGACCACGTTGATTATTTTTAAGGATGTATTTTATTGAATGTCGAAGTTCGATACCTTTAAACGCTGCAAAAATTCGCTGAAGTTGTGTGAGATTTTTAGAAAGTAGAAGTTGAATTTCTCACTCCAGCAGTCTACAGTCAATTTTTAATTTAGAAAAAAAGGATAAAATAAAGGCAGAAAATGAAGCGCTCACTTTTCTAGCTGGTAAAGTAAAAAGTCCAAAGACTTTCACATTAAGCCTGCTTTTTAAGATTACCCGGTAGACATATTTTGCGGATCCCAGCGCATACACTCGCGGTGTTCTCCTTGTACACATCACTCACAAAGGTCTTCAGAATTTTAATCGTGGCTTCGGCTGCTTCTTGGAGGTTTTCGTTTTGTTGATAAATGCCACTAAGTGCTGATTGAGTCGAATCTTTCTGGAATTCTGAGATAGAAATGTTCCCAAGTGGATTGCAGAAAGTGGGGTGGACTCTGACAATACAGTAGGTATACCACTTTAGTGCAGTGACATCCTGCATTCTACTTTGTTTGAAATCATTAGAACTCGTATTGTTTTAAAATAACCAACGCGAACAACCCGTTAGTTGATGATTTCATTGAAGAAATGTGTTTGTGATAATGATATCGGCGAAAAGATAAGAGTGAAAAGGCTTTCAGGTCTGACCCAATTTCAGACATCTGAATTTCACGGTGGGTCAGACAGTCATCATGCTAACACGTCTTTTTCAATAGAGCTACACGGTATCACAATAATCAAACCTGCTAATTTATGTGCTCTCATGTTTCATTGGACATGGGTAGAAACAAATATAAATAGAGAAGCTCCGACGATAGTGGTAATATCCAGAATACAATACAAGAGCAGATTTCATTATTTTCACGATATAAGTTGCTGCGTTCCAACGCTACCCCTTTCTATTATCGTCACTGAGTGGTTTTTTTAGATCTGATATTCAATGGCAGGACCCATCAATTGGATGTCGAATTCCAAAGACTCAAGGTATGTAAGTAACAGGCTTAGCGATGATAGTCATATTTGTCACATGCTCTTTTAAATCGAAATAACGAGTTTTGCACTCACACAGTTGAAGCTTTTGAGAACCATTGTAGGTATGTAGAAGGAAGTGGTAAACGGAGAGAACCTACATTCAGACCGATACCACTTCCCACAGAGATGGATCACAACTCGATTCCCGTGCGCAATCGGTGGAAAAAAATGGGAAAAGTACTGCTTCTAACACGAGATTGTTGACGAAATTCGCTGTAATACATGTGTTCAGAATCAACAGGTTCGGCGCGTTTTCGTTCCCGCTGGACTTTCAATGTTTGCCGAGACGATGCGTGCGTGTTTAGAGGAGCATCACGGAAGGGTGTTTTCTTCGTTCTCCGAAGTTGTTAACAACAGTATCCCATTCTGGGATAAGGTACGAATAAACAATTTTTCGAAATTCAGTAGTGCTTTTGCCAAGTCAGTATGAAGCTTTGTCCTTTGCTAAAATTACAAGGAAAACATTGTAGTTTTATCAAATAGAAATCGATTTGGTAACGAAAGTACTCCAGTAACCTATTCATACTAACCATGACTTATCGTGTAGTATTGCGTGTAGTTGGAAAAATGATTTTACTAAATTTCTCTTATGATTGGCATGTACCATCAGTCACTGATTGAACAAATACCACATTTTTGCTCATCCACGTACATCTACAAATTGGAAGGGGACACAATGGATATTGCCCAACACAGCGATCACGGTGGAAATTAAATTCGCTAGTAAAATCTTGACATCAATTCAAAGCTGCACTAAAATCCAAAGCATCTAAAATTTGTTAGAATTTATATGCAGTTCGTACGGCAATTTAATTGTCTCCAGACTGAAAGACAGGCGAAACGAAGGACTCGCATAGTACGGTGGTGAACTCATTAGCCCCTGAAGGGTTAATAGCGCATTTGTTCCCCACTGCAAGCACTTGCAGTCCTGAGTTTTGCAAATATCTCAGCATCATTATGGTTGAATTTAATCTCCAGATCATTTAAAGAATACAGAGATTTAAACATTACCGATAGTGATATCAAAGAATGAGGTGGGAAGTATGTTTCTCAATTTCATTATTTTTTAACAAGTAAACCAAATAACCATATATTCATTCAACTTAAATTTCGCAATCTGTTCACTTATTCAAATGTAGGTTACAATCAAGTCACAAAAATTTGTCTTTAAATAGAATTTGTTTCTCGTACATTAATCGACTATCAAAATATCTAAATACTTGTGCAAGTGCTGGGCTGTTAATGTTGACATATTGGACCGATCAACCTTTCGTCCATTTTGCTCAATATCAGATCCGTGCATGTTATATAACCCTCTCTTGATAGGTCTCCAGCGAATGCTAAAATGCCCGTCATTTGATCGTCGTGAGTGCTAGAATTGTCCAATCCTTCCAGTTTCGTTAGGATGCAGAGATCTATTGCTGGTGCTGAGGGTGAAAAAGTATTTTTACCGTTTCGGCAAAACATCCCGTTAGTCGGCTAATCTTGCTTGAAATCCAGTTAGTCATTTTCAGTTTTTTAGCGCTTCTCTTTGCCAAGTCTTTCCATCTTTAGCGACTTCGATGTATCAAGGAATCCATCACCTCGTTACCGGTCGCAATTAGAACTTCTGAAACATTTTGGTCTCTTGTTGGGTTAGCGTATTCCTTCTTCCCTCAACACGGGAACTTGGGTAATGCCGGCTACAATTGCGTTGAATTTCGTAGCTCCGAAGATGTGTAGGCAAGATGAGCACTGGATATGAATCACTTGTCTACTTAGATGACCATTCGCCAAATGTCTTGTTTTCTGTGCAGTTCTTTAAACTCGTCTCGATGTCTTCAAGTTAGAGGTGCACGGGCTCGTGTGTGGTTTTGACCGCAACGTGAGGTTGTGAATTCTTCACGCGCAGTTGCTGGCCAGCGTGTACTGGAAGGAAGTCACTTGCCTTGTTACTCGAATTTTTGCTTAACGGCGGCGATTTCTATGATGGCAGTGAACCCTACGATTGCTTTACACACCATTTAAGGAGAAGATAACTCGGGAGCTGGATTTGAGAGTCTTGTTTTTCTCTTTAATCACTATTCCCTTGACACTATTTATGTTATAAGTTTATATTTATTCATGTTACATTTGTAAGCTTTGTTATGCTCGCCCGTGTTGGCTTCGAAGATAGACAAGTCTGAGGGATTGGTTTGCTGGCGTTTCGTATTACATAAATAAGAAAGTGTGTGGAGTTTCAATGACATTCTTTTGCATATTTATGTCCACATGTTCAGTAACTTATCCGTGGGCCAAATCAATATCATTGGCATAGTTTGGCTAGTATTCATTCCCACCAATCGACTGATACCATTAGTCTTTAACTTATGTGTATGATAAAATACTCCAGCAAATTTGAAAATAATGAATCTCTACTACATGTTTTATCCAAATCGCATGTGATTTCCTTTGAATTCTGCATCTCCGCTGACTTCTTTTTAGCTTAGTGATAGTGACCAAGAAGGCTGGACGGCAAGAGCTCGTGTGGAAAAGAAAAACGACCACTACATTTACATCCGTAAGGTGATGACTTAACAACTAGCTTGAATACTTGATCAATAGTTTAACTAACTTAATTATTGCGAATTTTCGTCTTTTAAAGTGTTTGCAGATCCTAGTCAGAAAAAGATTTTTACAGTGTCAATGGTGGAAATAGCGGAAAAAAATAGTGGAAAACAAATGAAGGGGTAAAGCCACATGGTCCGGTTTTAGTTCAGTCAAAGCACAACCTCATAGTTCTTGTCGATTAAAAGTTTCCAAGCTCATAATGCCCAGTTCCTGTTTTGTAGTTTTGACAGCAGGATTAATTTCTAAACACACGTTTTCTGAACCGGACATGGGAATTCATCCTTATGGAACCGCAAATCGTTAATGAACATTACATTAACGGCTACCATTAGCATTTCTAGACAAGTGTCGCAGTTTTGTAATATTGCGATTTCTTTTTACAAAGTGCAAAAACTTCGATTTTGAAGCACTGGTGCAAAATTTTTCAACTGAAGGAGGGAATTTAAGATTCAAATCACTATGTTAACAGGCTCGCGAGAAAGTTTGCATCGAACAGAAAGTGATAGCTTCCCAACTCAGTGACTACGAAAGCGATCCTGATGAATTGCCAGGAGAAATTTGCATTGTCAAGTCCTCTGAACGGCTTGTGGTACGTTCTTCTTTCGTTTCGAGCTCAAAAACTAATTTCATCACCATAAAAATTTTCATCGACAGGGAAGCGTGAGTAAAACTCAGCCGACATGCAGCTCTCCGTCTTTCAATGCAGCTAAAAGCGAAACAAAAAAGTCGGTCGTGCAGCAAGACAACCAGCAATCGCTAGAAGAGAACTTTGCGCAAATACGACTGACTGTGCCTTCACAATCATTTCATGGTGGTGGTCCGTTCAGCAGAAATGTTCATTCATGACTTGTCCTAAACAACTACTGCTTTGTCCTCAACGCTTTTCGAAAAACAGTGATTAACAACGGCGTGGTAGGCAAGCACATTTTCATTTATTTGCTTCGTTAGTGGAATTTAGGACGTTCCTCATTTCGAGGATAGATAAGTATATGGATAAAGGTCGTAGAAAGAAAACCCAAGTCGCACTCTAAGTATTTAAAACCGCCGTGACCATAAGCTATAAGATTCTAGTGGGCCACAGAGCTCATAAGAATCCGAAAATGGCTGGCGTAGGGAGATTCGTTGTTGATATGTGGAGTGAAGTACAGTGAAATTGAAGAACTTGACTTTACAAGCGCTGCAACTTGGCTTTACTATGAATTTACACGTTAGGTGCAAGAAAGCTGTTTCTAATATTTAGATCCACTGAATTAACTTGACGCTGCTGAAGAACTTAGGACATCATTTCCTTTTTTATTTCAGGAGATACGACTGAAGCCACTGAAGACGCTTCTCTGGTGGTTACTCGCTGTAAGCCAAGTTTTAAAAAAACCTGAAACTCCTATTTATCAAGAAAAGTGTCATTTTATATTGTTTGAAATAAAGTTAGAGTGATCACTGTTTTTGACTAGAGTTGAAAGGACTTTCTAGCTTCTTTCCTGCATCATTTTTTTCTCTAAATCTTGTAAATTGTTTCCGATGTCCACACAACGCCAGCCTAATATTTTTACTCTCTTGTTACATCAAGTAATAACATTATAGTATGCATACTACCAATGTCACTTGCACAATAGTGGCAAGGAGGAAGATGACATCAAGTGGCATTTTCATATTTGGAGCTTCACACATGAAGTCATTGCCCGATGAATCAGTTCCAGGGAGTGCGAAACGAAGGACCGCGTCGTATTATGTGCGATACAACCACAATGATGCTGAGATATTTGCAAAACTGCGGACCGCAAATGTCTGTGGTGGGAACGAACGCTCTGTCACACCTGCCGGAGGCTAACGCGTTCGCCACCACACTATGTGGCTTCTTCTAGAATGAAGAACTAGGTGAGAGACAGGCCAAACGAAGGGCACGAATGATATGGTGGTGAACGCGTTAGTTTCCGGAAAGTGTAATAGCGCGTTCGCCCTCAGCTCAGACACTTGCGGTCCGGAGTTTTGCAAATATCTCAACATCATAGAAGTTATATTTCTCAACATATCCTGCCGTGAAAAATTGTAATAGGCAGTAAATAAAAACATTAACCCTATTCCAGAAACTACCCAAAAATAGATTAATAGTGGGATTGTGTCAATACATCAAATAAGAACGTGAGTTAAGTATAAATTAACTAAAGTAAGAGATGAAGGAAACTTTTGTGCTTAACGTTGTCTTATTAAAACAGCTTAGTATAAATCCAGCTTTACCACATGCAGTAGAGAATGAAATTAATTGGTTCAGCGGTTTCAAAGCCACTCGCAAGATTGCTTGTTCCAACCGTAATTGTTGTTCTAAGTGAAATCGTTCCAACTGTAGTTGTAATACCAAATGGTTTTGAGGCGCGAGTCCCTCCACATTCTAGCCTTGCCTCAAGACATGGTGTCACTGTCTTAAATTCTCTAGATACTTTAGAATCTGATTGTCGAGATAAAGTTAAAGTTTGTCTAATTAATTTAGGTAACCAACCGTATGAAATGAAAAGGGGAGATATGACAGCACAAATAATCATTGTTTCTGCATTTTAAGTAGTTTAGGATAGCATTGCGCAAATTTTTATGCTTTCTGCACTTTGTGAAGTTTAGGTTAACATAGAGAAATTTTGTACGATGAAAACTGATCGGAATGCAGATGGTTTTGGCTCAAGTGGTAGGTAGTTTATGTAAAGGCTATGGATCAATTAATCTCTTACTTTTAAAGCTTTTTGACGTCTTATAAAAAACTTTAGCATACTAATGATTCATCAAAGAGGCTACTTACTTGGGTACTTGGACGGCCTGTACTCACTGGTGGTGCGGGCCCCAGCAAAATTTTTACTTATTTGGGGTCTAACTGGCCTAGTCACTGTGGTCCTCTGGAGCCCCGAAGTCAGCCTAGCCACCCCCAGGTAGCCATCATCACAGACAGTCGCCGTCGTTGTGGATAAGAGGGAGAATTGTTACCCTGCGACTAGTTTGATACTAGGACGGTAGTGGATCCAGGCACTGGTTTAATCTCAGCTAGACTTTCTGATGGTAATGTCGGACTCCTTCTCAGCTTGAGAGATTCTGCCGGGAGGATGAAACCCTCCGTCTCCACCCACGTCCCCTCACCTCTTCCCTGTACATAAATGACAACCTGACACCCAGGAATACCTCCCAGTCACCATGAAACGATAAACTGTAGAAAGGTATCAAAGAGGTTAACAGTGCCAACTTCGAAGTTTATCGTGATCAAATTTACAATGTAAGGATAGCTCTTATAACACTTACGTTTCCTCATGTTATATAGCTAACCTGAGGGAGGTTCACCTGATTGCTGAAAAGGAGAGCTGATGGTCGAATTGGTCACAAGTCGAAAGTCCGACAGCACTTTTCTTTATCCTCAAGCTTGACGGCGAACCAAAACTTTTTAGCTGGATCAAGATTACGTAGATGTGGTAGCAAAAGGAATACTTTATACCCAACCTAAATTACCGAGAATTATTGCCTGTCCAGGTTTTTGTACCGAAACAAACACATTTCAACACAACATTCTAAAACTCCTTTGCAACATCCTCCCACTGCCTACGATACTTTAACTTCACTTTTATTTGGCTCTCCAACTGTGCTCACATTTCCACTTTTGTATTCTGTTCTTTGCCTTTTATGAATAACGTTTTGTAAGGGCGCCTGTGCCGCAGTTGTTGGAGGCACCCTGTAATACACATGAGGTCGAACTTCGCGTCCTATGCTCGCCAACCCTTCCATTTTTCTCGGATCGGAAAATTAGTGCCAGACTTATCTGGGAAAATAGCAGCATTGAGTAGGTACATCGGTGAGCCAATGCGAGTGCTGTAAAAGCCAGATATGTGTTTAATCATTTCCTGCGATGTTTACTGAAATCGAATGGATGGAGTATCCCTCAAGTATTGATAAACGGCAAGAGCTTTATTCTTTTTTTTCATCCTTTAACTTTTTGTAGTTCACCTATATTCACGAAATTTTTTTACACCTGCTTCATCTATGAGTCCTACATTCTCTTCATTCAATTTTTAGCCCTTTCTGACAGAGAAAATTTCACAGGTGCAGCTTACTTTTTTAAAGCAGTAATAGCTGTGTTTATGCAGACAATGACAAATTCTGCAATTATCCTTACTCTAATTTTCACCCAGAAGGTTGATAAATCCATCTGTGCCTTCAATCTTATACCCACATCCTTTTTGATAGCCTGATGATAACTTCATATTTCTTTCACAAACACATTCTTTGTACCCTCACTTTCAACACTTGACTAAATTCTTATATCGCCTTGTTTTTCATCTACTGGGTGAAGACTGGCGTCTGTTGAGAGTGTTCTAGCGTCATACGTACACAGCAAAAAACAATCTCTATGACGTGTTGTACGTGTATTCATCAGAACCAGTTCCAGTGAAGTAAGTCCTGCGTAACCAGAGATTTCGTAGCCTTTCACCGGTCGTCTCACCAGCTGACGTCATAGACGGAAGCACGCAGTGTGCTGGGTACTGCTTAACCTTGCATGGGCGTATCAAGGTCTTCACTACGATGTGGATCCTAGAAAAATTCAAATTTGAGTTGTTAACCAAAAGTAATTGGTAGTCCTCATCTTGGGAACTCCTTTGTATGATCTTTATCTCGTCACTGAAAACGGTTCCGTCTATTTTGTTCACAAGTTCGGAGCTTTCATAATGCAGGACAATATGGCTCTATGATTTTAAATTCCTCGTTTGACATTATGAATTAGCCAAAGATTGAACTCCATAAATTGAACTTGAACATAGACTGGATGTATGTCTAGGACTGAAATACTCGACATTTCGTTTGATAGGCAAGGAATACACTACCCCAGTCAATATTATTGCACTTCAATTCTTATTCCCACAGCCTCCATTCAACTTGCGTTGTAAATGATGCTTCAAAAAGTCCGTTTAACATCTTTTAAAACCTCATACATTTATTGTTTGCAAGTATTATTAAAGCAATCTAAAAAGAGACGTTTCGTATGTGCACAGCATCTGGTACCGGAAGCAGGTGTACCCACAGAAAATTTCTGCGCTGTTGAACTTGTCCAGAACTTTTTCAACAGAGTGATTTTGGTTGCACTTTTCATCTCTATTCAAAAAATTATTTTTCACGTAACAGCGTACTAGGATATCGCCGATGAAACGTATTTCGTACGTATTTAAGGTAATAAGAAGTTGAAAAAAACCTTAGTCAGCTAAAGGCTCCTCTGTTTCGTCTTCCTCAGAACCGCGTTATCCGGAGTGGATTGCGTCGTCCATGATTGTTCCTTCTTCTGATGTCGGTCTTCACGTTCGCATAGAGTGGAAACAAGAGTAGCACCACCCGAATGAAGTAAGCTCACTCAGCAGTGGCCTTTTATTTTTACAAGACAGTTATTGATACTGAATGTTCGGTGAAAACGGATTGTTTTTCTCCTTACAATACATCGTGCACCAGTCGGCATCATTATCAGTTAGCATATAGAGTGACAATATTTTAAAAACGAACGAGAACGGAGTAAAACAAATCATGTTGATTTCTCATTCCGATCTTAGAGGAAAGTCGGTTTCTAAAATACAGTTTTATTAACATCTATCAACGGTAATTTTTGCGCTTTTCGTTAAGCAAGGTCTGTTTAGAAAAATGTGCTTACTTAGCTGCAATTAGTGCTAACTGGCTTGGGATGTGTGCTGGTGTAGGAGTTCAGTTTACTTGCTAATAATTTGTAGCAGCCAATACAACTTCTCCGTTCTTCTGGAGCTTCTTTTGAGACTGTGGCAGCAACTGTTTGCAGTGTGCCTTTCGCAGCCACACATAAGATGTGTTCGATTGATGTCGGACGGGTCGCCTTCCTATTGTAGCACTGTACTTTCGGCTGAATTAAGCGAGCCATCAACTTGAAAGGTCCTTTTTTCTCATAATTTGAAAAACATAAAGCAGCGTTGCGTAGTCCAAAATGAAACTCTAATAACGTTTCAATCTCAGAACTCTGTAATCATTTCATACGGTTGTCTTATTTAAAACTACATTTCAAGTTGTAGTCAGAACTCTAACCAGAAGAACATTTTCGCTGAGGACCTCTAGAATAGAGAAAAAGTGAGTAGTGCTTTTCGATAGCTGTTTTCACATCGCCATGGAAGTTTCTAAAAAGTAATCGCCTGCGTTCAAGAAGAGCGGAAAAGACCTAGCGCATTCACGAAGTTACCGGTGACAATATTTCAAGCTAATCCCTTTTCGACGCGTTCTTAATAAGAGTCTTTTTTCACCTGTGAGGTTTTGCTGCAGTATTATTTTGTAGTTAAAACTTCTTATAGTCATGTGAGGTGCATTTCAATTGAAATAATGTGGAATGTTTCTATTTGATTGCAATTATATCAGAAATTCCAACACGACTCAGTTTTTTCCCGTTTCAAACTCGGCATAAAGGCAGAAGCTGATTACATCGACTGTTCCAACTACCACACATTTATTTATATGAACTTATAAACTGATATTATTTAGCAAATGCGAGGTTGGTATAGGTCTTTGTTGTCGTTGTTGTTGTTGCTGTTGCTGTTGGTCGATAGCTGACGTTTCGGCGATTTCACCTTCCTCATAGCCTGGACGTATTTTATACAAGAATGCTTTAATTATTCAGTGGAAAAAAGGATAAAGTGTTAATGAAGATCAAAGTCTGAAAT